TCTGTCTTGCTGAAAGTCTCTTAAATCTTACCCTCTCTGAACTTACCTAATTTATTTTAAAAGCCATTGTAACATTTTATGCTGTTGCAGCACGCAGGCTTGACATTCTTGGTGGTTTTTCTATTATGATCTGTTTCCTAGCTCGTTGCAAGCAGCCTATGGGTGTGCATGTCTTGTTACGATTATTTGTCACCATTGTGCATTACCTTGCATCCACTAGCAGTGGATTTTATCTGCTGGTATATTTTGTCTAATCATACAGTATGGAGCATGCGTTGAGCTATTATGATTCTTCATGCTTTTCTGTCAAAAAACGGTTGGCTGTTTATTCACTTTTCTCTCCATATCTGCTATGAATAAAGTAGTTAATTCAGATCTGTGTAGGAATTCTATTATTGACTACTCTCTGTTAAGGAAGCATTGAGTTACTCCTGCCCAGTTACTTTGGAAGTTTGACATTTGAGATTCCTGTCCTTTAAAAGTGTCAGTTAGGCAGTAAAGGAGACTGTTGTTGTTGTTATCTTAAAACAGTATTTGAAGTTATCTATCATGCCATTGCATATGTGCCTCTTTAGAATTAACTTTATATATATAACAAGAATCTTGCATAGCTTAATATAGTTTTAAGTGGGAAAACTGATATTGTCATTACCAGGTGGTTAATTTCTTGTGTTGACAATGAATGTGACCTGCTATGTTACACCGGAAACAAAAGGACACTGGAATTTACGTGCCTTGAGTGGCAGAAATTTGGCAGTTTGACCATAAAGCCTCATATACTTGAGTTGATTTCTACTGACTTGTTTAGAGTAATGAAACTGGGGCCCATTGATTATTGCCTCCCAGGGCTTTTCCATATATTTTTTTAAAGAACCCCCACCATGTTTAGTTTCAGCAGTACACTCTAGAGCAGGGGTCAGCAACCTGCAGCTCCAGAGCCGCATGTGACTCTTTCATCCCTCTGCTGCGGCTCCGTCGCTCAAAATATGCGTCATAACTGCCAATGTGCGACACCCACTAGCACATAATTTATTGAACTTTTCAACCCCTGGTAGGCCAACCATGGATAAATCCACGAAAAGAAAAGTTTCCGAAGGAAACAGAACGTTTAATGGTACGTGGGCAGATTCATTTGCTTTCACTGCTGACAAGACTGGCTTACCAGTATGCTTAATATGTGGTGAGAAATTGGCAAACAGCAAAAAGTCGAATGTTACAAGACATTTCCAGAATAAACACACAGCCTTTGCTGAAAAATATCCGGATGGAGATGAGAGAAAAAAAGTCATTTCAGAACTGATGTGGTTGATCTGAGCAAAAATCATAATTTAAGTTTGGCTTTTTATTTCATAAATATGAGGAGGACTCAAATAGACATTGAGTATTTTATTTGAAAGTAATCTTCAACCCAGCATCTTTTTTTTCAGAGTTCAAAATGTTTTTGTTGCATGCAGAAATAAAAATTTGTTTTCTCTGTAGCAGTTCATTGATTTCATAAATGCAACACACTATAGTTTTTTTATACATAGCATAAAGGTAAAAAAAGATATATGCAGTGTTATCTTCATTTTAGATGTCAAAAGGGTTTTGCAGCTCCCGGTGTTTTCTTTTCTGTGGGAAACGGGTCCAAATGGCTCTTTGAGTGTTTAAGGTTGCCGACCCCTGCTCTAGAGTCTAGGAAGTATATTTGAAGAGTTGACTATGCTACACATCATCTCTCTATAAAGGATGTGTTTTTTCTTTTTGTAAAACAATGATGTGATGATTATCATTGGTAAAGTAACTTATGTTAATATACAAGTCTACTTCTTTGCCAGTGTGGTGGACTGATGATTCTCATGGCTAAAGCCACAGAAGGTAAAGGATTTCTTTATGCAATCAGTTGCTTTGGGCAGGGGCTAATGTTCTGAACTCACTTCAACCTCTGACTGAGAGGTTAAATGAATTGAAAGAAGGTTCATAACCACTGCCAATATCAGAGTTCTTTAATTCACTTTTCTTTTATTATTGTGAAGAGCAGCAATGTTATCTATGGAGGGTGGAGTTTAAAATTTGTTAGAGAAATACAGCAGCCTCTGACTAACTCAAGAGCGCAAGAATTTTGTCTGGTTGAATGTTCTCTCTCACAAAATTCAGATACAGGGCATAGCTCTGTGGTAGAGCACGTACTCATGAGTGCAGAAGGTCTCTGGTTCAATGAAAACCATGGAGAGCTGCTGCCAGTCTGCGTTAAGAGTGCTGGACTAAATGGACCCATGGACTCAGTATAAGTCAGTTTCCTGTGTTGGTGTTGTAATAAGTTGGGATGGGCCCTTTGGTTGTGTAGTTGAACTTCCCCTCCATTGTCCACGTAGTGATAAACCAATGAGTCTTCAATTAACCCTAGTTTCCCATTTCATGGAAACTTGGAAACCATTATTATTAGCTTTAGAGCAAGCCCGAATGTTAAACTATAGTTTGAAGGAAGTGACACTTAATTTAAGACTAATAGGATGTCATTGTAGCATGCCAAGATGGAGAGGAATGAAGTGTAAGCATGAGCTCTTTCATGCCTCAACTTAACAAATTAGGATATAATCATCTGAACCGAACCAGTGTGTCTCAAACTTCCTTCGAATCGCCTCCTCTCTTCAGGTATGGTGTTTGCAGGCTGATAGCAAAAGTGCACAGACTTCCTCTATAAACCTTTGCTTCATTTTGTGATGCATCTTTGGCTGAGAACCATGACTTGCTGACACTGTGTACAGTTTCATATTGATTACCTCTGTGCTGCTATATACTCTTGGATCTTAGACCACAGGATAGAGAAATGGCAAATGAGTGACCTCCATATGGATTTGGCCTGAGAGATTTTGCATAACAGTGGTTAAGAAGCCTAAAGACCAAGAACATTTTAGGTGACAGCACTAGTCAGCAAACACTACTGCATAGAGCTAAATATGTATAGAGCTAAATATGCATAGAGCTAAATATGCTTTGTTTTGAAATAGTCTGAAGCAGGCAACTGAGGTAGGCAACTTTAGATGTCATGGCCTACAACTCCCATTTTCCTTCATTATTGACTACTGGCTGTAGGCCAGAACATCTCAAGAAGTCCCTGCATAAAGTCATCAGAAATAAATTACAGGAAATGACAAGAAACTTGTTCTTCAGAGAAAGGAAGGATATTCAGGTCCTTCCAGTAGCTCTGGGGAGCAAAGCTTTGTGGCAACTAGTGAGCCAAGTAGTAAAAAATGCATCTTTTTTTTCCCCTCACAGAGTGATTAATCTGTAGCACTGAAGTTAACCCTTTCAGCTCCATGTAGGAAAGTCTTTGGAAGAAGTTCATCTCATCTCTGTAAACCACTTTTTCTGTATTGTTCATATCACAGAAGGACATTTGAAGGGCATTTGAAAGAAACAGTTGAATAACTAATGAAAGTTTAAAAATGAGTGAGGGGAGGCAGGCAAATAGCTGATATGTTCAATAGTAAACAATGTTGTTTTGAATGCTGATTCTTGGCTTCCAGTACTTTTGTGGTTAAAAAAGCCATTGTTAAAATTTCTTTTTGGTAGAGTGGTAAAGGTGCTGCTGGGGATATCCCTCTAAACCTCCAGGCAGAACAGAAAACTGCGGCCTTTCCACGGGTTTCTGGCTTACCATCCATTCCAAACGGAACCGGACCTCTCTGCAATACCAGCCTGTGTCGCGATTGCCTCGCAGTGACTGGCTGTTGGTTTAGGAATAGTTCTCTCCAGCCTTGGCTTGTGAAAGAGACCACAGGCCTCCCTCTCTGCCACAGTCTGGTTAGCAGGGTGTATTTGGAGAAGGACCAAGGAAGGAGTAGCTGCTTCAAAGCCCTTCGATTACTTTGTCCTGGTTTCCTCTCCAGATGTCAAATGAATGGGTTCCATCCACCTCTGCGGGGTGGGGGTGGGGGGATTTTTTCTTTTCTTTTCCTAAATCAGTTGTTTATTGGTAGGACAAACTAAGAAATCGCGCGAGCCGGCTTGGTTTCAAAACAAAGAGTTTTGTTTTGTTTCCATTGTGAGAAAAAGAGGAGGAGCTGGCAGGATTGACCTGTGAAAAAAATAAGATTCAACTCTGCATGTAAATGCGCGCAAGCTGATTATAGGCTGGGGCACAAGCCAAGGTCTGGGCGAGCCCCAGGCTATTTTACATGAAAATGTGCAGCCAGCCTGGCTCGGCGCGTCTAACTTAAGACAGCTTCTCGCTTAGCATAAGGCTGGGAGGCTGCCTTGTTTCCTGCCCTTCAAGAGCTATTCACTGGAGGCGAGGCGGAGAGGGGTGGCAGAGGCAAGCCGAGCGGGCGATGCGCGCCGGCTTTTCGGAAAGCCAAGCGGCCTCCTCCGGATTGAGCCTCCCCCGAGGCTGCAGGGGGTGGCCCGAGTGACAGAAGTACGTAGGCGGCGGCAGCGCACCTCGCGAGGATGGGCGAAGGAGAGTAACCTGGCAGGAAGGCGGGAAGGCGAGGCGGCGGGCGCGCTGCAGCTGCGGGAGCGTGGAAGGGACGGGCGAACCCCGGCCATGATGCTCGTCCGCGCCGGGCCTGGTCGCCCCCGTGGGTGGGTAGCCGTCCACCTGGGCTAGGAATATGCCCTGCCCGTGCGGGAGGGGGAGAGGCGGTGGGTGCTGTGCCCGCGCGGAAAGGTCGGCCAGCCGGCCGGCAGGCTGCTGCAGCCATGATTTTCTAGGCTGCCTCGTTGATGTTTTGCTCGGATTCTGATAGGTGGAAGGCGGGCGGGGGAGAGCAGCTTTTGGCCGTGGCCAGCACGCCTATGGCATTGCAGAGTGGATGCTTCCCCGCTTTGCTTCCTGCAGCCCGGCGGGTCACAAGCACAGGCCGTGTGCCTGGCCTCTTTGGAGCGGGCCTTTTGTGTCCCGGCGCACAGTTGGCGAAGCCCTTCGGCGCTGAATCGAACTATTGTTTTGGGACCCCGGAGCCTGCACGCTTCCGATCTGTGCTCTGCCCCCTCTCCGTTCCTCGTTCTCCCGCCGCCGCCGCCGCCGCCGCCGCGACCTCCGCCTTAGAAGCCACCCGATCTGCCTTTCCCCCGGCACTTGATGACTCCTGGAAGCTCTGAGCTGGGCTGGAGTAGCAGTGAAGTGTAATGCATTGTGGGACGTGTGTAAAGCGGGATCTTTCCAAGGCTGGCAAAGGAGCGGACCTGCAGTTTTCTGCCTGATGATGGACGAGGCAGGGGCAAAATGTTGCTGGCAGAGCCCAGCCGGGCTGTGCGTGTAAAGGGACGGATGTGCAAGGCGAATGCAGCGGGCGAGCCGTGAGGCCTGTCTCATGGTGCTGCGGCTGCTCCTGCTCCTGCTCCTGCTCGTGCTGGATTAGACTGCAGGTAGCCTCAAAATGAAGAAGACCCGGAGTACAACCTTACGGCGAGCCTGGCCTAGCTCTGATTTCTCTGACCGGGCTTCTGATCGCATGAGGTCCCGCAGTGAAAAGGACTACCGCCTGCACAAACACTTCCCACCAGCTTTCCTTTCCCAGGCATCACGGGGCTACATGACATCAGGTCCGTAACACGGTGTGTGTTTTGTGCGTGCGTGTGTGTGTGTGTCTATGACTATCTGTCTGTGTCGAGGCTTGGGCTTGCATGTTTGTTTATCTCCCCTGTGCTGGGTAAGGAGGTTGCGACTGATTTGCATAGGTTTTAATGAATAATGCAATTTCTTTTAAAGCTCACATCCACCATTTTGTACCTCAGAAGATTCACAGCAGGGCCTTCTCAATATGGTGTTTAAAGCCTTCGAGCCCCCCTCCCCATAAAATAAATGGAGAGAAAGAAAGAGAAATGGTCACATCTGTATTTGCTGCGAATCAAAATGCCTGGGAGCTGTGATTGTGGAGGCACACAGACACACACACACACACACACACACACACACACACCTGCACCCTGGGCTCCTTGTGCTGAAAAATGATTGCCAAACCAGATAATGTCTCCTAATCCAGCTAAATGCAATTAATCCAATAGGCATTTCTGTGTTTCATTTTCTAAACAGAAAGTGTCACTGCCCTTGTGGCCTTGTGAATGTAGTTGGCTTGCTCTAGTTGACTATTTTGACTGGAAGTTCTTTTTGTTGATAAAAATGAATATAAATATAAACATTTGTGTGGAGGGAAGATAGTGTCTGTGGATGAATGTCACATGTGTATATTCCATCCATTCATTGCTTGCTTCTCTGGAAGCACTTGAAAAATAATGGACACTGCACCAACATTTTTGTGTATGTAAGACAAGATAGGAGCACAAACGAATGTAATAAAGTGTTAGAAGATTTTAACAAGAAACCTTCACCATGTTATCAAGAATTTTGAAAGGAAATGCTCCCAATTCTTGCCTTAAAGTAATGCTTGTTTATTTCATTCATTCTATGATGGCTCTTAAAATCCAGGCATTCACGAGATAATGAAGATAATGTTTAAGAGAATTAATGTAGGGAAGAGCTAAAGATCCTGGAAATCTCCTTTGTTGTTTGACTGTTTTGTCAGTGCAATCATTATATAGAACATTTCATGGCCATTTGTTATCAAGTTTTATTTTTCCTTTTAAAGCTTCCTTTAGCTTAAAAAATTGTAGATACAGAACTGCAAAGGTTATTTAGCTTGCACCTTTCCCTATGCCTGGTTTTAAGCCAAAACTAGTGGATTTGAGTAACTTAGGGTGTAATCCTATGCATGTTTAGATGGAAAAAAAAGTCCTACAATTCCCAGAATTCCCCAGCCAGCTTCTGGGGAAAGCTGGGAGTTGTAGGACTTTTTACCACCTAAACATAGAAACATAGGATGCATAGGATTGTACATTTTCCTGGGCTTTCTTTTGTCAGCAGAAAAGGAGAAATACTTTATGGACACATTGTTTTAATATGTTTTAGTCAGCCAGCTCTTTTGTTTCCACAGAAGTCATCCATTAAGAGAAATGACAAGTTTAACGTATATTTTAAAAAAGAAAGGCAACTACATCATTTGGAGTTTGGTTACTGCAGCACCTTCCACAACACACCTATGACAAATCTTCCCTTCCTGTACCTAGAATCTGAGCCTGCTGTTTATGATCACTTAATGCAGGATGTTTTATTTGTTTAGATTTGAGACATTTTAGATTAGAATAATTAGATTGTGGCTAATTGTGTTGTCAGTTATCTTTGTGCAACTGTACTAAGGCTATTGAAATAACTCTCAGGTTTCTTTGTTTTTCTGGAACTCAGTCTTGTGGATAGAGTTATTCATCAATGTATGTACTCCCCTTAGAGTTTTATAGTACCAAATACAAATTCAGCACACACAATACTCTGTATTCATAAATGCAGAATCCAGAGCAATTGTATGTTCTAGCTTGAGCAGCATTAATAGTGAGTTGCCTGTGTCCTGCTGGATGTGAGCCTGCATGTGATTGGGAAATGGGAGACCTTGGTGTCAGAAGACTGTGAATGGAATGTTACATCCTTGAGTATCCTGGAGGTGTGATCTACAGTGCCACAGTACAAGAACGGCTGGAGTGTGAGGGGTGAGTGAGGTGGCAGAAGAGGTGGCAGGCAACAAATCCACTGTGAGAGGTACTGTGTAATTGTTAGGAGAATAGCACAAGTATCAGCTGAAACAAGAGTGATGTAAAGCAAATGTAGTGCGTGATACTGTAGTTGGAAAAGTAATTTTGCCCTTGGTGTGAGTTTACTATTTTTTTTTTTTAATGAACTCTGTCCTTTGCCTTTCCAAATATTGGTTTTGGGAGGAATGGGTACTGAATCTAAACACTTCGGCTATTTTAAAAGGAAGCTCTCTTCCTGACAGGAAATCTATAGGAAGTCTTCTTGCATAAAAGTTGCACTGACTGTGAATACAAATGCTTTCTTTGTCACCCAAAATGTTTTACAGAAGAGAGAGCCTTGAAACACATGGGCTTTTCAAGCTGCTGCATTCTGTTTGTCTAGTCGTTTAGCCTAATCACTATTAGTATTGTCATGGTCCCTTTTAAATAAGTGCTCTATTGTTTGAGAAATGGAAGAAAGCACTGCTTGTTTGAACCCAAGGTTATTAAGGAAGGTATGCAAACAAGCACAATATTTTCTTTTCTTCCTTCTCCAACTCATTATTATGTACTCTGAGTTTTTGAGATGGGGTGTCTTAGAAATGTAAGCTTCTTAAATCAGGTAAAATTCAGATCTTCTTTCAACTTGTTTCATTTGGTAGAGTTCATATAGTGGAGTAGTTTAATGATCATGAAGAAAGGAAGCTATATTGGTTTCTTTTCCCCACCCCATCTGTGCCTGGTGCATGCCATGCAATTTGCCCAATTGCAGATTGTGTGTGGCCTGCTGTCATGTCTAAACACAGTGAGGTGTGCAACAGGGGTGGCTTCAGAACCATCCCCAAACCCATGGCTTGGCGTGGTTACCCACCCCCACCGCTGCATACACTTTGCCAGGTTTGAACAATATGGCATGCTGTGTAGCACAACAGTGATTAGCCAGATTGAGTGGTGTGTGCCCAGTACACTGGGACACAAATCATCCCGATGATCCTCTGAAGCCAGGGAGTGTTTCTTTAAGGGGGGGTACAAGAGTGTTAGAGGTGGAAAAACAACTGAAAAATATAATCTGATAGGTTGATATGCAGTCCATTTTTAATCAGTTAACCATTACTAATAAATAGTAATATTCCTGAAATCTGATTTATGATAAGGAATCACAGTGCTTACTTGAAACATTTTGGATGTTCTTCGGAGTGGGCAGTTCATAAATGGAAAAGAGATAGACAAAGCTGATAACCAACTCATGAAGGAAACAAGAGTGTAAAGTAGTGAGATTTTTCTGTGAGAATGGATATGGAGAATTGTGTCTTCTGATGCCAAATAATTTCTCAGTGAATGCTCTCTGGTGCAGTTCAAAGTTTTTTAGGCTTCTAAGCAACCACAGGGTTCAGAGGCCATATGGAGTGTTCATTGTTTATGCAAAAAATATAAATTTTCCATAGGAAAGCTCACTAGCTTTACACCTTTGAAATGAATTGAAACTATAACAATAAATATCTTTGACCTTTGTATTGAATAGGACTAGCCCAGCATAATACATTTTGTAAATGTGAGAAATGGGTAGATATTATAATATTGATGAACTGTTTCAAACAAGTGGGAAATGGTTGAGCTAAAAAGTCAATACTGATGGTATGCTGTTTATCCTTCCAAGAGCAGGCCAAGATTTTTTTTTAAAGCTCTAATGATCTATTAAGTATTTGTAGCTGATCATGTGTTGGAGATCAGTTACTTAAATTTAGTGGAGGAAGTTGAGTTCTGGTTAAGAGAACAAGAAAGACAACAAGAAACTGATTGAACAAGTTTAGATTCCTTGTTAGCTGTAAATATTTGTATCCTCCTGGAGCTGTTTTAAGGGCAGCTGAAGAGATTCTTGGTAGTGTTATCATGTGTGGTAGAACTGTCTGTCTCTTTAAAGTGAATGCTCAGAAGATGGTGGCATAAATGAAAAGTCCCTCTACTGTTACCTATTACAAGTTTTCATCATTGTCCTTTTTGTCATCATCATACTACATTAAAAGAGTATTTTTACTCACTAAATTGTTATCAGTTCTGCTAGGTTGAGAGAAAACATTTAAGTGACCAAGCACAACACAAAGCAAAAATTTCATGTTGACTACTAATTTTGATAATAAATAATCTGTTTGCGTTGCATGAAGATACTCAGATGGAAAGCAGCCTTTCAAGGTGTTACTGGTGTTTTTTGAAGTAGGAACCTTTTCTAACAACATGGTAAATAATGGTGGGGTTGCCCCTTTGAGATGTTTCCAGGTGGCTTCTCATGACAGGATTGTTTTGAATGAACATGTCATCCTGAGAATCCATGGCTTATTGTTTTCAGGATTCCAAACCCAAAATGGTGACTTCATCATGGGTTGTCATAAGTGACTAGAGAGCCTCCTGGTGAGTGTGGTGAAAGCCCCTGCCACTCCTGATCTCATTAGTACTGCCATTTCCGTACTCCTCCTTCCTTGTTCTGTACTCTTCAGCCTGGGTTCCTTCAAACTGAGATGAAAGGACACCAAACATAGTCACAACGATCTTGCAAGTGCTTACCTTCGAAAGTCTGTGGCTATGAAATCTGTATAATTTCCCAATCCATTTTAGGACTCTGCCTTGACTTTTGTGTATATCTGTTGATCTACCCACTTGCCTGCCTTGCAGTTTTTCTGCCAGTTCACCTCACTCCCTGCTCGTGAAATTTGAGTATCTTTACCTATCTCTATTACTGCTTTACAAACCGTATGAATATCTGACAGCTAACAAAGGAAGGCAGTTGAGGAAAATGAGAAACACAAAGGGATAGGGGCTGTGGGTGGGGAAGCTTTTTTAATGGGACTAATTACTTTGAGAGTAGAGGAAGCAGCCTTAAAAAATATGTTCTCCAGCAAGGCATGAGCTAAAATGGTGGGTGAAATGGACAAGGTCATTCAGAAAAGGTAGATATTGCTATGCCAGACTAAAGAGCAAAAAGTTTTGTG